ATATAAAATCCAGGGATGCTGTACCCTGGACAAAGGAGCGGCACACACATTCACCTGGTCTGTGCTGGCCGGGCATGGTGGCGTACACCTATAATCCCAACACTCTAGAGGCAAGGCAGGAGGATCGCTGTGAGTTCGAGACCAGCCTGGGCTACACAGTGAGTTCCAGGTCAGTCTCAACTACATAGTGAGGCCCTGTCTCAAAAAAACAGAAAAAGACAAAAACAAACACCTGGTCTATGCTGAGGGCTTGAGAGGTGAGACCTCCAACTAAACCTGAGACTGGCTAGAATGCTGCTTTGTGGCAGACCCTACAGGGTAGTTCGCAGAGCCTGTGTCCTGGGCCGTGTGGGACCCAAAGTCTGCCCCTCTTGCATCCTACAGGACATGCACTGGGCTTGGGGAGGAGGCCAGCGTGGAGGGTGCTGTGGGCAGAAAGTGTGCATGCTTGTGCATGCCCCTGTGTATACACGCATGTGCATGTGAGTGCAAGGTGCTGGGGTGGGATCTGGAACTTTTGCCTGCCACTCTGTCACACCCCAGCCCACTGGGTTTCTTTTGAGCAACCCGTGACAGCTTCTCCTGTCTCACAACTGTCTTTAAAGTTCTTTTTTGTTTTGTTTTAAATCTCGACCTAGGGCCTTGAACATCCTAAGTCTTTTTTTTTTTTTTTTTTTTTTAGTACTTTGGGAATGTATAAGCTCTAGAAGCAATTCCCAATTTTTTTTTAAAGACAGTGTCGCACTATGTAGTTGAGACTGACCAGGAACTATGTAGCCCAGGCTGGTCTCGAACTCACAACTCACAGCGATTCTCCTGCCTCAGCCTCCCACGTGCTGGGATTATAGGTGTGCACCACCACTCCTGGCCTTTTCTCTTTTTTTCCTGAGACAGGGACTTGCTTTAGTCAAGGCTGGCCTTGAACTACGTACCCTAAACTGGCCTCAAACTCTGAATGGTCCTCCTGCTTCAGCCTCCAAAGTGCTGGTATTAAAGGAATGCACCACCACACCCATCCTTTGGCCCTTTTTTGTTTGTTTGTTTGTTTGTTTTTTGTTTTTTTTTTAAAGGGAAAGAGGTTTATTTGGTTTACAGCTCATAGAGGTTTCAGCCCCTAATTGGTGGGCTCTGAGGCTGGGATGGCAAATAAGCACTGCAGAATAGAAACATGATGGCAAAGGAAACTAGAGAGCAAAGGTAACAAGAGCAGCCCTTGTCTTTACATTTTATTTTGAGGCAGGGTCTCATAAGTCACCAAATGACCCAGGCTGAACTGAAATCCTCC